ACATGCTCACTGGACTGAAGTTATACTTTCCTTTTTATACATTAAAAGTAGGCAAGACTTTAACATATCAAAGGAACATAAAGGGAAAGGGGCAGTGTCAGAAGTCAAACAACCAGGACAGGAAGATCGATTTGGCATCCTGCAATTTGTTTCATTTCTCTCTGGTTGAATGAGTGTGAGGAATCACAGGCTTTAGTTTGCACCTAAGACAGTGGTCTTAGGTGCGAACAGAAAACCTTTCCCGCGCATAGTCACTGTCCTAACCTTTTGACTCGGTCTTCCACAAAATCATTAATACATAGTAAAACATCATTTTGCTTCATTTTTTGAATACTTATCCTGATTTAAAATTAATATGGAAATAATGTTTTCATTAACATGTGTCCATACATTAAATGTAGATATCATGGAATTCTCATTAGTTGAGTAGAGCATGCACATAATTTTTCATTAACTCTTTTCCTTTGCTAAGGTATGTGAGAGAAGGCAAAGATGAAGCCAAAAATGGAAACATGACGAAATCTTTAGAACTTTTCACGTTGGCTTATGAAATTCACCCAAGTGAAAAATTGAAAACCAGAATCAAAAAGATAAAAGAAGCCATAGAAGAAATTGCACGTCAAGGATCGGAAAGTGAAGGTGAAGATGAGTTTGTTGATGTTAATAACAGTGGTCTAATGCTTTTCAAAGAGCTACATGATAAACTATATGATCATCAAAAAGAAGGAATTGCTTTTTTGTTTGGCTTGCATAACGATGGTAAAAAAGGTGGCATTTTAGCCGATGACATGGGATTGGGGAAAACAATCCAGATCATTGCTTTTCTTTCTGGAATGTATGATTCTGAATTGATCAAGCACACTCTTCTTATCATGCCAACAACCCTCATTGGGAACTGGGCCAAAGAATTTGCTAAATGGACACCAGGCATGAGAGTTAAAGAATTTCATGGTACTAACAAAGCAGCACGAAATAAAAATTTACAGAAAGTTCAAAGAACTAGAGGTGTCATCCTTACCACATACCAAATGATCATCAGCAACTGGGAGCTTCTCTCTAGTTTCATCAATCTTGAGTTTAGATGGGATTATGTTATTTTAGATGAGGCTCACAAGATAAAATCTTCTTCAACCAAAACTGCAAAAAGTGTTCATGCCATACCTGCTAAACATCGGATCCTTCTCACTGGCACCCCTGTACAGAACAATCTGCGGGAAATGTGGGCACTGTTTGATTTTGCATGTCAAGGTTCTCTGCTTGGTACAGCAAAAACCTTTAAAATGGAGTATGAAAACCCCATAACTCGAGCACGAGAAAAAGATGCAACTCCAGGTGAAAAAGCTCTGGGTCTCAAGATTTCTGAAAATTTAATGACAATAATAAACCCCTACTTTTTAAGAAGAACAAAGCAGGATGTGCAAAACAAAAAGCATAATGTAACAAATGAACATGGAATAAATTCAGAAGACAAAGAGACCCAAGCCCTCATTGCCAGTGCTGCGATGCCATCTCTTACAAGAAAAAATGACCTGATTGTTTGGACGTACCTTAGCCAAGTTCAACAAGACATCTATAGCCAATTCATATCTTTAGATCACATCAAAGAACTACTGACAACAACACGCTCACCCTTGGCTGAGTTGACAGTTTTAAAGAAGTTATGTGACCACCCAAGGCTTTTGTCTTCCAGGGCTATCGCCCAGTTAGGCCTTGAGGAAGGAATGGACCAGAATCTGGAGCTAGATGACCAGACTGCGGGCGGAATTGACCATGTACCTGATAAAGTACTTGTATCGGAATCTGGGAAACTAAAATTCCTTGTAGGACTCCTGGAAAGACTCGTTGAAGAAGGCCATCGCACTCTTCTATTTTCCCAGTCAAGGAAAATGTTAGACATTATCCAGCGTATTTTAGTTAACAGAGGTTTCAAACTCATGAGAATTGATGGTACTATAACTCATCTAGCGGAACGAGAGAAACGCATTGCAATTTTTCAGACCAATAAGGAATATTCTGTATTTCTCCTTACCACCCAAGTGGGAGGCGTAGGAATTACTCTGACTGCTGCCAACAGAGTTGTGATTTTTGATCCCAGCTGGAATCCAGCAACGGATGCCCAAGCTGTGGACAGAGCCTACAGGATTGGGCAAAAGGAAAATGTTGTGATTTACAGGCTAGTGACCTGTGGGACAGTGGAGGAAAAGATCTATAGACGTCAAGTCTTTAAAGATTCCTTGATCAGACAAAGCACTGGAGACAAAAAGAACCCCTTCAGGTATTTCAGTCGACAAGAGTTGAAAGAACTTTTTAAACTTGAGGACACTAAAATTTCCACAACGCAAATTCAGCTTCAGTCACTCCACGCAAGACAAAGACGCACTGATCCTCAGCTTGATGAGCATATAGCATATTTGCATTCTTTGGAAATGTTTGGAATCTCAGATCATGACCTGATGTTTTCACATGATGCAGCATCAACTGATGATGAGACTGGGGACCACGTGGCTGATCAGTACATTGAAAGTAGAGTTCTGAAAGCTCAGGAGTTGATGAAAGCTGAATCTGAACTGAACCAACAAGTGATGGCAAACATGGATTACACAACTGAGCCAACATGGCTTCGAAACCTGGAGCCACCTAAAAGATTCGACGAGAAACAAAGTAAAACAGAGCAAAGCGTCTCAACGGTCAGTGAAAATGATGATGCAGTTACAGAGGCATTGGTAGTACTCACTGAAGAGTCTAAACCTGATGAGGCAGTCCACAAGATTAGTGCTAAAATTACTGATCTTGTGCTAGATAATAGCCTTGAAGAAGCTCGAGAGCATAATATTGAATATGATGTGACAAAAGAGAATGAACTTGCAAATCATTCTAAAAATGAAATTCTTTTGGATCACTCTCTACTTGATGTTTCTTTTGAGGGCAAAAAGGATGTGTTGAGTACTGTATCTGAGTCTGAAGAAACTGCTGTTAAAACATCACCATCCCTAGATGAAAAATGCTTATCTGTTGATCTTAGTTTAGAAGAGGAAGCTTCTCTCTTCCTTCAAAATAAAAATTTAAATCAAATCAATCCTCAGAACATTGAGAGGTCTGCAGAATTTTGTCACATGCCATTAATCCATGACAATTCAATGAATGATGAACTGCTCCCTGTCACTTTACCCAACAGTGCAAGATTATCTAGTTTTCAGAAATTGGACTTTGAACATGAATACTATTACAATGACGCAGATTCAAAGCTAAGTTTGCAGTGTGATTTCAATCTCCAGCTGGAAGAGAGCACTGGTGATATTTTGGAGGAGAATAATTCTGCCAGCAAAAATGAAACTGCCTGGCAGCTTCACTCAGAAATCACCTCAAACACACACAGACCATCTGAGTCTGAGGATCTGCAAGTCAACCTTTCAAAGAACTTCTCAAACTTTACTTGCATCAGTGACGATAACCCAGTGTCAGATGATTCCTTTATTCATACAGGAAAGAAAAAGAAAAAAACACAAGTACTGTATGACAGTGAAGAAGAACAAAATTCAGACAATGTGATAGAAGCCAGAGAGAGGTCCTATTTTGAAAAACGTTGTTCTGTCAGTAGCCCTTTTGGTGAGCCCTTCAAGGAAATTGGTGCCTCCACTCCAAAGCCAACCAAATCTCAGAGTCCTTTTGCTTTGATTACTTCTCACAGAAAAAGCTTAGGTGGAAACGCGTCTGTGGCATCCAGAAGGTCTTTTGTGGAGGCTGTTGTGGAAAGCCTAGAGGAGGAGGAAGATGATGTGGTTGAAATGGAAAACTCCAAATATTTATGCAACTTAGGAGATGAGGAACAATCTGATTTTTCTGTATCTGAAGAGAAACTTTTTGGTGAAACATTAGGAACAGAAGATGAGGAGGGGGAGGAGGAGTCTGAAAAAGGAGAAGATGACAGTGTCCTGGAGGAATCTACTAGTGATGCTGAACTGAGATCCAGTGAAGAAATGGACTTGTGTGCTCATGAGAGTCTGATCCCTCCCCCCACTGAGTCTAATTCTGATGCACAGGACTTAGTTAACAAATCAAGTGACTATGAAAATCTAATTAAAATAGGAAAAGACCTTTATAAGGCAGAAAAATTTAAAGAAGCTTTACGTTTCTTTTTGCAAGCTCTTGATATTAAGAGTGGTGATCCTGAAGTTCAGTTGATAACTATACAGCTATATCGGAAGCTCAGTGAATGCTAATGTTATAGTTAACTGCAGCATGCATATTTAAAATCATATATCGCATGTAAGTAGCCCTCGTACTGTATTTTTCTCTGATTATAATTAATCTAATTTGGCAAAGATGTTAAATGTCATTTTATGTAGTCCTATATCTGTTTCTAATTGAAAAGTGTCAAAAGATCCAGCAGGGCTCTAGGCCTTATGCTGATGTTGCCAATTTCTGATGTAAACCATATTTTTGTGCCATACTAAATGGATACCCTATTTATATTTACAATGTGTAATAATTTGCATCACAATACAAATGGCTATTTACTTAGATTTTGAAGTTGGACAATTGTTTTTTCCACCTAATTTTTCATGGTTCCATTCATTTTATAGGACTTTTACATTTGCAATTGAATGCAAACCTACTTGTATTTTGGAACTAAAGGCCATTAAGGTATGTTTGTGCAACTAGATTTTTTAGGTAAGTCACACTAGACGCGTCCTTTGCCAATACTTATTTTTTTCAACACAGAATAGCAAAGTGATACAAAGTTAACTATTATCAATACATGCAGTTGGTGATACTACTAGTGTTGCCTATGTACTTATTTTAAATACATTATTTTAAACATTAAAATCAGTGCAAGTCTTAGGTTGTAGTGTAATAAGTATCAGCTTATTAAGTTACACACTAGGTTCTTACAATCCTAGAAACTAATTGTGGATGGCTTGTAGAAATTAATTATTATTATTTTGATTCACTGGAAAAATGTTTTCACTGTAAGCTATGTCAAGCAAATACCATTAATTGTAGAAAAGATAAATGAGAAAATTAGTTCTGGTGAATGCCATGTCTAGTTTAGTAGTTCTTCCCCATTTTTCAGGTCCCTAATTTATAAAAACATCAGTTGGAAAAAAATACTGATCTACTCATCTGTGTCAAAGTAAAAACTTGATTGGTTGTTCATTTCAGAACTTAAGGCTTATCACATATTTAAATACCCTTTGTCAAACACCAGTGACATATCTGTTGAAATACAGAATGAGTGCCAATCTTGAGATGTGTGTTCCCCGTGTTTAATAAATTGGAAGCTTTTGTGCATATTATGTGTCTGTTTTTTGTAACGCTATCAGTACTTTTGTATAGATAAAGCTGTTCATTTGGGAAATCTTTTGAAGCTGAACAACAGACTGTTAATAGTTAAGTTTATTTTACTGATGTAGGTAGCACATGCATTAAGGTTTTTGAAACCCAACAAGTGGTAAGGATTGAGGGTTAATGCAACTCAACTTAAATTTATACACACATTCAAATGTCGTTTACAGAAAAAATAACTTACTTAGCTAAGACATTTAAGATTGTTTAAATGGCATTCTGAGCTTTACCACCAAAAGCAGATACACGTATTACACTTGTACATACCTTTTGTCATACTTATATATATCATCCTTGTGTGTTATGTTTTTAGTATTAAATTAACACACCTTAAAGGCAGCCTTTGTTGTTTTTTTTTTCCAAAATTACGTGAGTTTATGGTTGTTTTGTGTAACACCTTGCAGAATTTTGTGATGTTTTTCAAACCCATCTCCAGACACCCCAAGAACACTAACAAGTAAGAAGTCATAAAAGTAGTCTTATTGATTTGTTGTCCTTTTTAATCCTCACCCATGCAAACTTGTACTTTCTGTTATGTTATTCATGTTACTTGTTATTCATTCTGTTCAGATGCTAGCGAGTACATCATTTGTATGAATAATAAAAGTGCATGTTTTCCACAACAACATTCTTTGATCTGTTTTTTATGTGTTGTAAGATGTCAATTAAGGATTAAAAGGCACTGACAAACCCTATCCTCAATTTTGGAAGTTGTATGAAAACAGAATTCTGACACAAGTAATATGTGCAATTTATTTTAATATCTTTGACCATGCTTTAATCTCAAGGATCTCATAAAATCTTGTTACATTATGCGCACAGATAAAAAAAACAACAACAACAAGTTGCTTAAATACCAACCCTGATGACAATTTTAGCAGGGCACTGTATTTGAATATATTAGTTATTCCAGTTATATGTGCAAACCCTTCATTACCATAGGAGGTGGAATCTTTTATCCAGTAGTGTAAGCTGTGTATTCTTCTTGAAAAATTAACTTCCATAGCATTGTTAATGGTTTAGCTATGCAAAATAATCCTTTATTAAAATAATTGAATCAAGTGGCAGATAAGTATATCAGTCTTTTACAGATTCATCGGTCAAACAGATTGATGTTTTCATATTTGAACAGACCAAAAAGTGTCATGCGCAGAGGTGTAATACCAAGATGTTTATTATGGTATGTGCGTTCCAGTTGTGCAACCCTTATTATTCTCTCCTGTAATAGAATTTCTTCTACATTATATGTATTATTGCAGACTACAATTCATGGGTTTGTCACGTAATTGTAGCATTATTATAGATTTGTTACAGCACTTAATTTATATGCTTATAAAACTTATTTTTAATTGTATTGTGGATCAAGATCTGTTCCCTGTGTTCAAAAGCAGGGACATGTACAGCTTTTGCATCACTTTAATCAATAATGGCATGAGGGAAAAGAAAGTAGCTTCACAATTTTGTTTCCTGCTAATTTAAAAGTTTACTACAGCATCATTATTTTGAGAGCCAATCTGTGCTGTGTCAGAGTAGCCTTTCATATGACTTGTGCCTTTGCTCCAGTAGTACAATCATTTTGTTTGTGGAACTTATAACAGTACAAGGAAGAGCACTACTACATTTGATATATTACATTTATAATTCATTTATTTAGTTTGAGCCTCATGTGGAGCTTGAGGTTTGTGAACGTTAATTGTGGAGTTTAGGGAAATGTAACTGGTAGGCGGACGGAAAATAACCCTTTTAAATTGAAATGATTATAACTTGACCTCAAATGTTTAAAATCCACAATGACATTGACAGAGTTAATCCAGTCCATTTCTTCAGAATGAGAAGTGAAATACAAATGGGTGTAAGTGGAAACAATGGATAAGTGCATTTAAAGCTAAGAACATGAGGCACTTGTAGAAGTATGAAACAAGCTGCCCAGCTATGTTATTCATGTCTTCTCATACAATTGCAATATTCCACATGCTCAGACATTTGAAATGCAACTATTTTTTGGAGGCTTCAGAAGGGAATCAATATAGTTATAGTACATTATTATGGGTAAAAATAATTATATACTATTTTTCTTTTTAATTTTACATCATATGAAAGAAGGGAATAATATGACTTTCCTTAAAATACAAGCAATGTATGTAGCACAAAACCAGGATCGATTATTTCCGTATTGTCTCCAAAATGGGTACTGAAATCCCGTTGATTTATTGCTAGTTTATACAAAATGCTTTTTATCAAAATTGCTGACTAGGTGTATTAGATGATCCTTTGACAACACACTACAGACTAATAAACTCTTGATAACAAAAACATTATGGTTTTATTTTTTATTAAGTAGAAATGTTACCATGTGTATTTTTAACACTTTTACACTTTTAACATTTTTAAAAACATTTTTAACACAGAGTGAAGCTTATTAAATTTAGTTTAAGGACTTGACAAATGCATATTTAAAAAGGAGTTGTAGTCTTCTGCATGTATTTTTCATTCCCTGACATTGAGTCCATTTAATATTTTTATGCCTGCTAAATGTTTTCTCATTTGCAAAGGAGAATCCTGTTAACTGCACTGAGAATCTACAAATCTTAAAACCATTTGATATTTAAACACTTTGATAAACTAAAAAAGCATTGTATGTATAGAATATGTACTCAAATATATTATTAGTAGTATAAAGCGACACCTTTCGTCAAACTTTTGACAGGTACCACGCCCCCTTTTCCAGCCAATGGTCGTCCGCGGTGTTTGGTTGTCCCGCCCCCCTGCCATCCAATGGCGTATTGTTATTTCTGCATGTCCCGCCCCCTCAGGAGCCAATGGTGTGGGTCGGAACCACCGCCTCCCCCCGGCCGGTCGGCCTGGCGCCTCAGGGTCCCAAAGCCCCCAGACGGCGCATCCCTTGCTTTAGGTGTGTGCAAGTGGTTATTGGTTTGGAAGGGGACCATGTCTGCCGCAGGCTTGAGTGCGCTCTATTATAACTCCAGGAAATCGGGCAGTTACGGCGGCGCAGGGGGTCTGGTGTGGGCCGCGAGATCCCGGGGTGTGAGTGGCGCCAGCCGCGGCCGGGTGGTCGAGTGGTTGTCCGGCCAGGCTGCTTATACGCTGCACAAGCCGGCGCGCATACGTTTTAAGAGAAACAGGACGCTGGTGTCCGAAATGGACTGGCAGTGGCAGGCTGACTTGGTGGACATGAGAGAACACCACGAGTTCAACGACGGTTTCTGTTACATCTTAACGTGTATAGACATGCTGTCTAAATACGCTTGGGCCGTGCCGCTGAAAACCAAGACTGGGGGGGCCGTGACAGGCGCCTTCCGAAATATACTGCAAAAGGGGCGTGCTCCTAAAAAGCTACAAACGGACGAGGGTAAAGAATTTCTTAACAGGACCTTCCAAAATTTTCTCAAACGTGAGAATATTGAACATTTCGTTACGGCCAGCGATGTGAAGGCTAGTGTGGTCGAGAGGTTTAACAGAACTATTAAAACAAAAATGTGGAGGTACCTGACACACAAAAACACCTTTCGTTATATTGACGTCCTTTCAGATCTTATTTACGCTTATAACCATAGTTACCACACGACTATTAAATGAACCCCGGCTTCTGTTACGCCCGACAACTCCCTTGAGGTGTGGAGAACGGTCTATGACGAGCACTTTAAGAGAAAACCGTCAAAGTTTTCATTTAATGTGGGTGATCACGTGCGGGTGTCCAAAATAAAGGGATTGTTTGAGAAGGGATATGAACAGACCTTCACAGATGAAATGTTCATTGTCAAAGAGCGGTCCGCGGCTCTGAGACCCTATTACAAACTGCAGGACTACGCAGGCGACGACATTAAGGGTTCCTTCTATGCCGAAGAGCTACAGAAGATAAACCCAGATGTTGAGAACGTCTACCGCATCCAAAAGATTTTAGCAGCCAGGGGTCGTGGCAAAAACAGCTTTTGGTAAAGTGGCGCGGCTGGAGCGATAAATTCAATAGTTGGGTGAAGGCTTCTGCGGTCCGAGACATATAGAGGTGGTGAAAAATGAACCCCAATGGTTTCTATGTGACGCTGGCTAGTAATTCATCCTCAAAGATGTTTCCAAAGAACACTAACGCGTGCTTCACAGAGCATCTGGCAAAGGTGATTGACCTGGATGGGGGCTGGGAAGTGGGCCTGGTCGAGCTGCACTATCCGCATACACTAAACACTTTTGATGAAGATGAAGTTTTTCTGTTCGTCAGTGAGGAGCTCAAGACTATCTGGACCTGTACCTTACCGAGAGGGTACTACGGCAACATCGAGCAGCTCTTGCATGAAATGAAACGGGCTGCTGAAAAATCCAAGTTAACGGCTGTAAGTCTTAAATACAACCCCATTAGCCGGTCGGTAAGGATTGTTAGTGATAAATCAGACCTGTGAAAGCGACAAACATCTAAAAGGATGACGGTCATCAAGAGCTACGGGGATCCTTCTTTGTATACGCACTACTACAAACAACAGGCTGGTTATGGATTACCAGGATTTTCAGGGCTACCGGTTCAATACGGCGCTGGTATCGGGGGTATTTTCAGAGCGCTATTTAGAAAAGCTGTGCCTTTTCTGAAACGCGGGTTTGAAATAGCTA